TACCAAGTTGAAAGCAATTAATGGACTAAATCAAAAAGCATTTTTTGAACAATAGGAAAAAGTGCAGGGCGGTCTGGTGGTCCTGTGGCCAGCATAAACATGTCAACAACAAGTGCCTGGGGCTCAATTAGCCGCCAGCCAGCGAAGCGGAAGCCAGGCAACCAAACTGGGCCAACATGGGGCAACTTTTAATTAATTGAACTCCTTTTCCTGCTTCCTAATTGAACACACATATTGCCACGGAGCAGGAGTTTCCCAGTGATTTCCCACTCATCTGAACTTTCATCTCTGGGGTCTAATGTCAAATTGGGTAACAAAATTGCCTGCCAAATTAGCCATATACTTTGGATAGGCAACCTCGGAAACCTTGTTTCATTTTTGTTAACATGATAATACTTAAGTGGGCTTTAGGTTAATTTTTATTTTTTTAATGGTATTTCAAAAAGATTTTAAAGACCAAGATAAATAAAATAAAAAATGAATTGCTTTAATTTCCTTTCTAGTTTTAATTTATTTAACTTTATTATTATGTTGACTTTTAGTATGTCGCTGCAAAAGCTGTCCAATCCAAGCCTTAAGTTTACACAAAATGAATACATTTTCTTCTTTAAAGATGTTATTTTTAGGCAACTCCCAAACATTTAAAAACTTTGTTAGCATACTTATCTTATATACATGATAATATATGTATGGTTTGATATGCCTTTTCCTCACTGTTTAATCTTTTAATTACGAAACTAAAAAAATGTATTTCAAAAAGATTTCCCATCCATGATATTTTGCATATTTACGTGTTCTTTCTTTAAATTAAAGTAAAATCATTTGATTTCCCTTTACGATATAATTTCCCAGTCCTCTCCCAAGAATTGTAAAACATAATTCGCAGAAGTCAATTAGCAGGGAATAATATCTAAATAAATATATATTATCAGTTATGCCTTTGCCTCACCGTTTGATCATTTAATTATGGCCTAATTAAAATTGGCAAAAAGCCTTGACCGTTATGGGTCATTAAAAGCGCACCGGGCAAACAAATAAAGGGCGCCCAACTTCAGACAAAAGGGACGCCATCGTCTGAGGGTTCCGGGAAAGGCATCACCATCATCATCATCTTGGCCATTCAGTCATTCAGTCATTCAGTCACTCGGCCTGGCTGCCTTTCTAAGGAGTGTGTTGAAGTGTCCTGGCTTTGAATAATTAAACCGGAGCATTTCGCTTTCAATTAAGATGTCGACACGCAGTCAGAGTCGCAAAAGCAACGGCTGCTCGAGGCCTCTGGCCAAAGGACACGGCCAACCTGAAGGACTCTTGAGGACTTTTCGGTGCGTTCGCATGTCCTGAGAGTCCTCCGCAGATTCGTGTCCCCCCCCCGCCAGGTGCCTAAATTTGTACATTTTATTTCATTTTCCCTGCATAATTAATTTTTTTGTTCACACTCTGGTTCTAATAGCATTTAATTTCCTTGTTTATGGCTGGCCAATTAAATTATTTGTTCGGTTAGCGTGCTGAGTTTTGCATTATTTTCAAAATCAATAGGGACCTTGGCAGCGACTTTATTGCAAATATGAGCTAAGAAGAGGCGGAAAAGCGGCGGAAAAGCGGCGGGAAAACCCCCATGCAATGGCCTTGTCAAGTCAAATAACAAAAAAAGCGGCTTAAGTGCCGGCAGTCGGCTTTCCTCCTTATTCCTCAGCATTTTCAAGGCGCCTCAAGTTTCTAATACGCGTTTTATTCGGCTGACTGGCATCATGTGCTAAACAAATAAGCGAAACAGCCATCAGGTCCCTTGGAGATTTCTCAAAGTCCCCGTAGTTGGGGATTTTGACAAAGCAGCGGATATAAATCGTAATGCTGTCTGCTGTGAGAGGAAAAGAAAAACTTTAGCCTGGTCCAGTGATGGGCCAACATATTTTTAATTAAACGTCAGGGAGATCCACAGCTCAACTTTCCGATGCAGTTGCGTAATTACAGCACAGGTGGGCATCATCAAACGAAAAAGTAGAGCGAAATTCCCAAGCAACCGCATCATAGGGGGTTCCCATGGAGGTCGGAAGCCTTTAAGCAGGGCTTTAAACCTCCGACTCAGTAAACCCCTTTCCCTGCTGCCCAAAAAACGCACACAGACAAAGGCCAAAAAGGGAGGGAACACTTTCGAGTACTTAGTGAGTTACTTACTCCTGGATCTCTCGTACTGGATGCACCTCCACCTGCAGCTTGTTTTGTCCTTGTTTTCACCTCTTTCCCAGCACTCAAGTGCTGAAAAGTGTTTTTAGCACACTTTAGGACCTGTCTCAGGGGGCAGCGGGCTGTGGCGGGGGCGGAGGGTTCGGAAAAGCCGGAAAACCGGCAACACTGCAACTGTAAGCGTCCCAAACTATATAAGCACACCAGCAGTTCAAGTTGTCTGCGGAGAATGTTAATTGGGGAACGAGGTCTCGTCGGATTGCACGGTAAACAATTTTATTACGGAAGAGGAGACGATTTCGCAAAAAAATGTATAGGAAAAAAACCATACTTAGGATATATTTGAAGATCATAAAAAGAAATTACTGAAAAAACTCTAAGATGTTTTTGCATTTAATGAATTTGGAGTCAACAACTTTTTTTTGCTTTAGAAAAAGCTCCAATCATCCATTTTCCCATACTCATTTTTATCTTAATGTACAAAATGTATGGTAGTTTAGATTTTAAAAATTATCATTAGTACATTTTCTTTACTTGAAAAGAAATCATTTTAAGGAGAAGATATTTTCTTTTATTTATGAAAAAATTCCCACGTTTCCAAAGTTCGGGGGAAATACTTTTTAGAGTGTGTAAGAGTGATACACAAAATATTTCAAACGTGATTTATATATTTTGTAGTGCAATAGTAAGGAAGAAACATTAGTTACTATAAATACAAATATTTAGTTAATAAAAATGAATATAAATGAGGTTTGAATGTACAAAATAAGTACTTGGATTGCCTAAAACGATTTTCAGGGCCTAAAAACAGTTTACAACTGAAAGACTATTCATAGAAAAATATAATGAAATCTTGAAGGACGAAATACCTCCTCTATAAGTCCGAATGCAGTGCTGTGAGTGAGATATTTGCACTCATCATTGGCCATGTTCCGAAAAAAAAAAGTTTGTGTGGGCCATAAATAATGGGGGGCTGGTCGGAAAAAAGCTGTCAACTCCATGTCGAGCTCCCAGCTAAGTCAGCATTATCACCAGCGAACAATGTCGGCGGCGTCATCATCATTAGGCGACTTTTGAGCCCCCGAAACGGCCTTGGACACTCGCATGGATTTGGATTGGGCCAGTGGGTGGTGCCCATGGATGGGGTGGAGGGTCTTAGCTGGGGAGCTGACAAAATGCCTTTGACATTTACAAATGAGGCCCGCCAGCGAATTAATGAGCCACGCCCAATTAGCGAGTGTGTCACATGAGGGAGTCGCAAGATCCAGAGTCTTTCACCCGAAACCGGCTTCTGTTGCTCCTGGCTAATGTATTGGAAAATGGAATTGAAGTCGATGCCCCGACATTTTTTCTGTGACCCCCTCCCTTTTTTTACCCTCTTCACTGTACCTCCCAGCAATTTAATTAATATTACGCAGACAGTGAAGAGGTGGTAATTTCACCCCCATCACCCTAAGCAGAAATCTTCAATGTAATTTTCTCGTTTACCCATTTTCGAGGAAACCCGATGAGATGGTAGCTGTGGGGCCGGAGGATACGATGGCATCCTGTGCCAGGGCCTCAGACAATGGAAAGCCAGGAGCGCACTTGAGCACAGTTTGAGGCGACTTGAATGCGCCGCGCCTATAAGTATGCACTTGTAACGGCCAGGGGGCCATAGAACACCCACTATCCCCCCTCCTGGGGTTATAAAAATAAAAACGACAGACTAACAAAAATGAAAGGAAGCCAATTCTTAGAGGGACTTCCCCGGCCCGGTCCACTGAGCCACTTTTGGTGCTCTGCCCGAGCTGCAACAAAACTTATTATATTATTCATGCCCTGCCACCCAAAAGGGTTGCCCCGCGTTTTGGGTTAAGACGAGCTACGTGCCTGCATTACTTCTAAATAAATCGGTTAACGGCCTCTTGCGATTGTTTAAGATTATTTAAGGGTTTTTTTAAGAAACCAATATATTAAGCATAAATTCAATAAAACATATAAAAAGATTTTATGCCTATTAGGCAGCCTAAAGTAAAGACTTGAATTCAAATAAATTTAATAAAACTGGTAGATTTAAAAACGAACTATAAATAATGTAAAATTCATAAAAGAAGATTTAAATTAAAATGGAATGCATATTAGAGCAGCGCAAGATAAAGGCTTGAAATAAAATATACATATCTAATAATTGTGGTAGATTTAAAAAAGAACAAAAAATATTTTCGAATTTTTAATTTACATATTTTTGGTTAGAATTAAGTGAGTAGGAAATGTTATAGGAGTTCTTTAAACTAGGAACCAAAACTAACTGATGTAAAACCTAAAAAGATTATCCTATCCATGATAAACTACCAGTTTAGTGAATATTATTGTTATCATGTTAGCAAAAAGAAGAAAAAACTGAGGAGAGAAAATTTTCCCATAGTTTATTTCTTGAGATATTCAAAAAATAGTCAAAATAGTCATTAAAGTCTCGGATTGATTTCGGATTGATTTTATTTTAAAAGTCTGTTTTCTAGATATTTAAAAAAAATCTTTTCTAACAGATATTTTTGACATTTTAAGTAAAAGTCTTGTTAGTAACAGTTGTATCTGATATTTTATTTTCAAAGCGATAACTTTAACATAACTTTTACATCTTTAATGTATTCTGAATCCATCTAATCTAATATTTGATGATAGTAAGAGTGTAGGAGTTTCGCTACTTGAGCCTCCCCCTCTTGTCATGCATTTTGAATGCAATTTCCTGGCCAGGCCAGGGCCATAAATTCAATTTTTTGCCCTGCCCTGCAACTAATATCCGCTGTATGGCCTGCTTGTGTTGTCTCCGGCAGAATCTTCAAGACCACCGGCCGTTCCGTCCAGGAGGATGTCAACCTGCTCCACGCCTCCGTGCTGTCCATGGTGGAGTTCGACGATGATATATTCGCGGCCGGAAATTGCTTCGATTGGAACGAGCATCCCGCCCAGCCGGGACTCTTCTGCCCCTTCGCCTACCGCCTACCGCCCCCAAATCTCGGAGCGGTATTCGCCAAGGATCTGGCCATGGAGTACCACTATCTGGGCAACACCTCCGAGTGGTTCTTCCTGGCCCGCAAGAATGCCGAGAAGGTGATAGCCCGCAACGAGCAGTATCTCAAGTGTAAGTATTGTCCCTGATTTATTCGCCAGCCTTATTTATGGCACCCCGATAGCGAAGAGAGCCTCTCATATACATACTTTTATTTTTGGGGCTCTTTAATCTGCGACTTCATTAGTCACCGCCCCAAATTGCGAATATTTCACCCAGTTTTATCATGCCCCAAAATGTCGACTGACAGCGCAACAATTAAGCAATAATAAATAAGGGGAATAGGATCCTGCGTTGCCTTTAACTTGGAAACTTCACTTTAAATGGAAATTACCCACCTTGCCAATTTAGCAGTTCCGTTCGTAATTAGCCCGATTCCGTCTGCTCCGGCGAGCACCTAATCCATTCTCACGGCCTTCTGCTCGACTGTCCGGCGTATTTGACAGTGATGCGTGTAAGCTAATTTTATGCAAGACCCGCCACGAAGCTTCCTGTCATAGTCCAAATTCAGGGTCTTAGGATTTGCTACTCAGCTGTCAAAACTTTCTACTTACACCCGGAAAAAAATTCTTTCTGAAGTCCATTGCCTTTGATTTTGGGGGGCCATGGACTAAATAAATAATGGTCTTAAAGATGTGCCTCCCTTATATTTTAAAAGAAAAATGGTTTATGTTTATATCTTTAAGGCCCAGCTTTAAGTCCATGCTTAGTCCTTAGTACCTAAAACATTCCTAATAAATTTAAATGGACTTATATTATCCATTTTTGTCCCAGTGCACTCCCATTATTTCCTTTAAATTTTGGAATATTTAAGGTGATGTGTTGGCAAATTGCGTCAAATGAATTTTAATGATGTTGGCCTGTCCCATCCTCACACTTGTCCGCCAGTTTGCATAACTTTTACCGCCCCATTCCCCCGAAGGGAGAGCAAATGCACTTGACACGACCGTGCCGCAACATTTCAAAATAATTTGCAAATTAAAGGTTACGGTTACGCCACGTCGCATCACTCCCCGCACTCCTCCGATCCCCTGGCCCATCACGAATTTTCCATGTTTTCCCATTTTCCGGCTTGCGTGTGCAGCGGTGGCATGCAAATTATTTGTTTGCTTGCCTACAACTAATACTAAATACCGTGGTTGTACCCATACATGGGCTTTTCGGTATTTCCCCGGCATGTGCACTGAGAGAAATTATGGTTACCTTACAGAGGAGCAAGAGTTCTGTATTCTCGACACACTATCTGAATATAATTTTAACATTTCATTTAAATCATTTCACAAGTCAAATATTAAAAGATAATATGAAAGTTAATTTTAAAGGCTTTTTTCAACATAGGGATGAGAAAATGGTCCCATGTTTATCCGTTCTTCAACTTATATAAAATATTTAAATATAAAAAATTAAAATATTTTCAATCCAATTTTTTGTAAAGTCTAAAAACAGGTTCATATATGAAACTATAGTTTCACAGCATTGAATATAAAAAGTCAGCCACTTGCTTAGTATATTATATTTTTAAAATAATAGGTAATTGCTTTAATAGTTAATGACTTGAAATAACAATTAAGGTCATCCTTATCTTATTAATTTAACATAACCATGGGTACATTAATATACTTACTTAAACAAATAAATACTATTCATATTTAATATAAGCTAAGTACCCACAGAGTTCCTTTGCGTTTCTTAGAGACTTTAAATCATGTCATAAATCATTCCATAGCCTTATGGGTCAAATTTTCATCTTCTTAAAAGTCCAAAGATTCCCTTTGCACAATGACTGAATTTAAAATGTAACTTTTTTACTTACTTAATCAATCAAAGAAGGTTTATGTTTGCTCAACATTGAAGGCAAACTTTACCCTATGTATTACTTTCCAATTTGGCCGGACCCCTCTTCATGTATATTTTCCGCCGTGTGACCACTTCCACTCCTTCATCCGTATCCTGGCCTGAAAACCGGACTTGGCCGCAGGCTCTAGGCCCGCAAATTGCATGGGCGAAATTGCATGAGATGCCGTTGAAAAATGTGTGTGTGTTACGTATACGCCGTGTGTTCGATTGTTGCCTGTGACTTTGGCTGTGACACTGCCATGTCCCTCTGTGGCTGAGGGAAAACAAATGGAATCGAAAACAAACATTCTGCAGAGCGGGTGGGAAATGGGTGGGTGGGCTTTTCCACTAGCCCATGCATACTAATAGCGTTTTGGCCCGGCCAAAAGCTGATTGCAGGCTGCCAGCCAACTATTTGCCATAGATAGAAGTCCGTTCCTCATTCGTTTGTTTGCAAATTGAAAAGACGGAAAGCAAAGAGGGAAAAGGAAACCCGAGCCTGCCAAATTATATTTGTAGCTCTAACAATAAACGAAAGCGGTTCCGTTTCGACATCGAGTCATTTATCTAGCGCGAAAAGTTCTGTAAGCCCCGGCAAACTATGATTTATGGGGTGCTGAAACTACTGCCGGATAGTTGCCTTTCGATTTATGCACACTTTTGCATATTTGCCACCCGCCTTTAAAGTTTGCCCTCTAAAAAGTTTTGCAGCGAAAACTTTCTTCTTACCCACTCGCAAATCGCTTTAATGCGGTTTTATTAAATTTACTCTTTAATTCTTTTAAGGACATTTCATCGGTGAAACCATTTTTTTTCACACCACATCCAATTTGCGGCCAATTCATGCGCTATTAATTTGATTATATGTTTGCGGTGCACAATGCAAATGTTGCTCCTTTTTATGTGCCACCGAAAAAAGGCAATTCGCGAAGTGATTACCTTTTCATTGCATAATTAATAATATTTTTTGCCAATCGGCAGGCGAATGGCGCCCCACCGAATTGCGCAATCAATACGAATCGAGTGCTTTTAATAGCCTTTTCAGCTGCATTGCATTCACTTTATTGGTTGTTATATTCCGAAAATTATTGATAATGCCTATTTAAGTGCACTCGATACTATAATTTAGCCTAATTGCTCATGGTTTAGGGACTCTAATGTTTAGAAGGGCTCATGAAGTCATCCATAAATGTGGTATGATAGTAAATATTTGATTTCCGTTTTACTGAAATGATTTTTCACTTTGATCAATATTTGGATGTGTTGCAATATTTTGGTGAATATTTTTGCTTTCCTTAAATATTTATGAGTCAACTAAAAGTGCAATAATGATGATTTATTTGCCTTCACTCTTATCAATATATTGAAGCTTCAAAAGCTATTATTTATTTAAGCGAATAGATTTCCATTCGGATATCCTCAATTCAAATAGATAAAGGAAGAAATAAAATTAAATTGCCAAATAAACATGAGTTTCTGCCCATTTAAGTAGGTCTTCGGTTGCCAAAGGAAAACTGTAAAAAGGGAAAAAATAGGTGAACTCCTTCAAGGATGTCTGCTTTTCTATTGTTGGTTCCCATCTAATACACATATTCCTCTACGTATAGTGCAAATACACATATATCAGGGCCCATCTATCTTTCCCACCCCCATAACCACTTTACATGTTTATGTACTCATTCGTGGAACATTCGCTTTGTGGGGGATATGATGGCGCGTGTGCGGCAAGTAAACCGCAAAAATATGTCATAATATTTGCTTTCTGCCACAAGTCTGGGCGATCCGTTTTATATTATTGTATGTATTCCTGCTCCGCCTTTTCGCTGGTCACAAGTCACGTGTTTAACATAAAATTTAAATAAAAATCGCATACAATATGTAAACGGTTATATGTACTTCCTGTGGTTGCTCCTCAAACCCGGGCAAATATTTTCCGAGCTTTGGGCCCATTTGCTCAGACTGCTTGTTGTTACACTCGTCGTCGTCTGGCTGTTGTAATTTCCGTCTGCTAACGCAATTTGCAAATTCTGTCTGACTTTCACAACATCCTTTGCCATGGCCATTACCATTTACCAACTAAATCAGCCGAAATCTTATGAGATAAGCCACAACATATACACATTTTATGCAAATCTCGGGCATAAAGAATAGCTGAGGGGCTGTTTTTTTCGTAGGAGGTTAGGGATACAATTTGAAATCATTTTTGTGAGCTAATTTTACTGGAACTGCTCAGCCAGATTCATTTGTCGCACTATTGTAATGATGCTGAAGGCAAACTTGGCCACCTAAAAATGGTCAGACATGAAATTTAGTTCTGGAAAGGAAATGGTATTTCCCAACTCACGCTTATATTGCTGTTCATGGAGATGGGGAATATTCCTCCTGCAATGAAAATAATAGGCTGCTGGACATGATGCATGAAGTGGACCAAGGTAGCTCTGTAACGCGGCTCTGCATCCACCCAGTTGGATTGGAAAATCGTGTTGGACAACTCCTGGGCATCGTCTATAAGCAGATTACAGGTATAGCAAAAGGGAAAAGTCTGCAATAGGATGGTTATGACGAAGAGCAGGGAGGCCACTCCCTTCCAGAAATTCGAGAAGAAGAACACATTGACCAGAGTCAGACCCAAAACGGAGCCAATCAGCGCAAATTGGACGAAGATGGTCCGGGAAATCATGGGCCTTATCATGTCACAGCATCTGGGGGAAAAATATGATTAAATTACTTACACTCAGAAAAACCAAGCTACATATTAATTTAAGTGCAAAACGTACTAGTTTTTAGAATCTAATTCTTTTTTCTCATTAAAAAGCATTAGAAAAATAAAGCTTTGTTTAACACATCCTTGTTTCAAGAACTTTTAGAACTTGATTCAGTATAAACAGAAGTAATTTGAGTGATTAATTTAAGAACTTTTTTAACTTGTAATAAAATATACTTAATTTAAAATCATTCTTTAAATACTTTGGATCATTTTAAGAATTTATATCTGGAATAAAGCACGATAATGTAGGACGTTCCGGTTTTCAAGAATAACTTATTCTTAATTCAAGCACGCACAAAAAAAAATGAGGTCACGTATTAAGGCATTAGAAGGCATTTTTTTGGGTGTACGCATTAAGTCAATTAAAATCACCCACTTCAATATGGTCTTGTGATCCATAACGCAATTCACCAAATCCTGGTAGTTATCGGCCTCATTACGCTCAGGATCCGTTCTCAGATTTCGTACA